TTAATTGATGTATTTATTTATATTCATAATATTTCTTATATTTTTCTCGATTTACTTAGATAGTTTCTGTTTTTCATTTAATTTATGTTATTTAGTTTATTTTTTATAGAGATTTATTTATTCATATTTATTTATGTAGTTTATTTTTATGTATTACTTTCTGAAGTGAGTCTCTTTGACATTGTGTTGTTTGTTTGTTTGTTTGTTTGTTGCAGCGCTGGTTGACCAGTCCGGTCCGCAGGCTGAGTCAGGGAAAAGCTGACGGACAGAAGAAACCTCCAATCAGAACCAGGAGGCGGGACAACAGGACGGAGCTGGCCACGCCCCTCACTGGCAACGCACAGATGGTACACACACACACACACACACACACACACACACACAGGATGAGAGAACAAAGAGAGAAAAGATAACGTTTCTGTTTGTTTGTGCAGAAGGCGAGGAAGGAGGAGGCGGGGCAGAGTGGAGGGGAGGAGGAGCCAGAGGAGGAGAGCAGCACCCCGCTACCACCTCCCATGCAGATCATCAAAGACCCAAACAACCCCGAGGTAAACAACATACTGTTTGTGTATTCTGTAAACAAACATGGTTCATGCTGTTTCTTTGTTTGTAATATTTTTTTCAGTATTTTGTCTTCAGTAAGTTTTTCATCGAGTTTTGTCAGTAAATTTGTTTCCGCAGACGTTTTTCCATATTTTGTGTATTTGTATAACTCATTCTTCTGTCTGGCTCTGTGTTTATTTTACTTCTTTATAAATGTGATTGCTGGTTTCTGGAAACAGGACGTTTCAGTTTCATTACTGGTTAGTTGTTTTTTTCTTATTAAATGTTAGTAGTGAAAAGTGACTGTTTAAATTTCCCAGAATTCAACATGACGTCTTAAATTGTCTTGACAACAGTTGAAAAATAATCCATTTACAAAAATATATAAAACTGATCAAAGTGTAAAGCCGGACGAGTTTCACTGAAAATAAAATGAGTATTAACATCTTTTATCAAAATGAAACGTCTGTGAATCAACGAATCAATAATCAATTAATATATTAGAAGTTATATTGATGACCGTCAACTGTTATATCACCGGATTTATGATTTTGGGTTTTTCGTCCGTTCCGTTCTCGTGAAAGTGATATCTCAACAACAGTTTAAGAGAATTTCTCAAATTTGGCACAAACGTCCACTATGACTCAAAAATGAACTGACTGAATTACAGGGTGGAATGTCAAAGGTCAAGATCACAGTGACCTCGTTTATTGCATTTTCATGAAATCTGTATCGCAAGAACAGCTCAACAGAATGTCTTTAAATTTGGCACAAACGCCACTTTGAGTCAGCGATGAACTGATTCAATTTTGACCATAGAAGGTTGAAAGTCAAAGGTCAAGGTCACTGTGACTTCGTCCGTCGCATTACTATCAAGTCAAGTCAACTTAATGTTATCTAGGCACAGTATCTCAAGAACAATTTGAGGGAATTTCTTCAAATTTAGCACAAACGTCCACTTGGACTCAAAAATTAACTGATTAGAATCAAGGTGTTTTTAGTTGCTTAACCTGTTTCTCCTTTCTGTCTTCAGGCTCTGGACTCGGATCAGGGCTCTAACGAGTCGGACACGGAACAGAGGAACAAAGCCCTGAGAGGACGCATGTGAGACAGACACCGTCATAGACACGTGTCTCTCTGTGTGAGCATTGAACGTGAACTCACGTCCGTGTGTCTCTGCAGGTTTGTGGTCAACGAGATGATCCAATCAGAGAAGGACTACGTGAAGGATCTGGGCGTGATTGTGGAGGTGAGACATGCCGAGTTTCAGCAGCTGAATGTCGAGTTTAAACTATGAATGAAATCCAAATGTGTGGTCTGTCTGTGTGTCTGTCTGTGTGTCTGGATGTCTCAGGGCTTCATGTCCAGGCTGGAGGTCCGAGGAATCCCAGAGGACATGAGAGGAAAAGACAAGATCGTTTTCGGAAACATCCAGCAGATCTACGACTGGCACCGCGAGTATGTCACAGTCACACACATTAACACACACACACACACACACACACACACACACAGTGTCACACTCATTGTGTTTGTGTTTGTTCTCAGCTTCTTCCTGGTGGAGTTGGACCGCTGCGTTCAGAATCATGACCTGCTGGCCGATCTCTTCATCAGACACGTGAGTTCAGTTTTCACCAGTGGTTGAAGGTGTGTGCAGATGACAGACGGGGGCGCTGTAATCAAGGACAAAAAATAAGCCACGCCCCTCAAACTGTACATCAAGGTCACTTGAGTTTCAACACCCAAGTCCAGCTCAATGAGGTCCTCCTGAGTAGATTTTCCGCCATTTTTAATTTTTTGAAAAACACATTTTTGATGTCTCTTCCTAAACAGTAGGTCCGAGTCACACCAAATTTTGTGTGGATCATCACTGGACCATCCTCATCATACGTTATTAAAAGCTGCTTAATATCTAGTTGCGTTTCAAAAACATTGACTATTGAACTTAACACATAAATAGAACTAACTCCACAACTGTTGAACCAATCATTACAAAACTTGCAGGAAATGTTCATATAACTACCAAAAACATAACCTGAGAGTTTGGTTCAAATTTACCACCAAGAGGTGCCACAACTGCAACAAAATGGGTGTGGCATTACACAACTTAGAACAGTTTTGCCATCTCCTTCTAAACCGTAGGTCTGATTCGTACCAAGTTTTCTATGGATCATCATCTGACAAAGCTCATTAAGACTTAATAAAAGCTTGTTGACATCTCATTGTGTTTCAAAAATACTGACTAAAGAACTGCATAAGAATAGCTCTGCAACCATCGGGTCAGACATCATGACACTTGCAGGAAATGTCCACATATGTACCAGAAACAAACCCTCAAAACTTAGTTCAAATCGACTACTTGGAGGCGCCACAGTTGCGAAAAAGGGGCGTGGCTTAACAGAAATCAGACTATAAATCATAACTTGTCGGTCTAATCTTCACGGAACTTAGAGGATATGTTAAATAATAATGTTAGAACATGTGTGTCAGTTATTTCGAATTTGCTCAATACGGGGCGTCACCAGTCCAAACAAGTGCTTCAGCCTGGCGCTAAAATTTGTCCATAAATAAAGACAGTTTGTCCAAATGTCACTGAACTCTGCTATGGGTACCTGCAGGTTGAAAGACACTGAGCTCTGATGTTGTGTATGTACACACACATCACTGCAAACCTACACATAATACACATACTCAGGCATCACACCACTGACCTGCTGGCTGGAGGACTTCCTGTCACCATGGTAACTGCATCAGGACCGGGAGCTGCTGATGGTTCATCACACTGTTCCTGCAGGAGGGTCACATGACTGTTATCGATCAGTCCGTCAATCAATCAGCTGTTAACGCATGTGTGTGTGTGCACGTGTGTTGCAGGAGCGCCGCCTCCACATGTACGTGGTCTACTGTCAGAACAAGCCGAAGTCAGAGTTCATCGTCATCGAGTACGAGACCTTCTTTGAGGTAATGCATTACTTCCTGTTTCCTGTTTTGTTGAACTGTTGTCAAGACTTCACTGAACACGCTGATTTTTGAATGGGGTTTGGTTTGGATGAACAGAAGGAGATCTTAGTGTATGTTCTGCAACACAAACAGACGACTAAAGAGAAGACACTGAACCTGTCTGTCTGTCTGTCTGTCTGTCTGCAGGAGATCCAGCACGAGATCAGCTGCAGGATGTCGATCAGTGACTATCTGATCAAACCCATCCAGAGAATCACCAAATACCAGCTGCTGCTGAAGGTCTGTGACGATCAGCTGACATCACAGTTTAACTGTTTCTGTCTCTGAACAGTTTTAACGATGTTAACGACACATTTTAAAGGTCACTGTTACCTTGTCTGTCTCATTCTCCTGAATGCGATATCTCCAAATCGCTTTAAGAGTTTCCTCAGATTTGGCACTAACATACACCATGACTCAACAATGAGCAGGACAGATTTTGTTGGTCAAAAGTCAAAGTCACTGTGACCTCCTCCGTCACATTTTTGTGAACACAATATCTCAAGAACACTCTGCGTGAGTTTCCACAGATTAGGCACAAACAATCCCTTAGACTCAGCAATGAATGGATTAGAATTTGGTGGTTAAAGGTCACTGTGACCTTGTCAGTCTCATTCTCCTGAATGCAATATCTCCAAATCGCTTTAAGAGTTTCCTCAAATTTTGGCACAAACGTCCACCTGGAGTCAAGAATTAAGTGATTGGAATTTGTTGGTTAAAGGTCACTGTGACCTTGTCAGTCTCATTGTTATGAATGCAATATCTCAGTAACTCCTTGAGGGATTTTTTTTTTTTTTTTCCAAATTTGGTACAAATGTCCACCTGGACTCAAGAATGAACTGATTACAATTTGGTTGTCAGAGGTTAAAGGTCACTTTCACCTTATCCGTCACATTCTCGTGATTGCCATATCTCAAGAACACCTTGAAGAAATTTCCTCAAATTTGGCACATACGTTGGACTCCCTGATTAGAATTTGGTGGTTAAAGGTCACTGTGACCTTGTCAGTCTTATTCTTGTGAATGCAATATCTCAAGGTTACCTTAAGGATTTTTTTTATGTGCAAATTTGGCACAGACGTCCACCTGGAATCAAGAATGAAGTTATTAGAATGTGTTGGTCAAAGGTCAGTGTGACTACACAAACATGTTTTGGCCAAAACTCAAGAATTCATACATTAATTACGTCAAAATTGACTGATGCCATTTTATATCCAAAAGGTCAAAGGTCAGCTTCACTGTGCCATCATCACAAAGTCACCTTGACTGTATAGATCTTGTGTGTGTGAAACATCAGTGGAAACTGTCAGAGACACTTGGTGGGTGGAGTCAAAGACCTGCGAGGTGGTAACTCTAGTTTTCACGTCTGGTTCTCAGGATTTTCTAAAGTACACGTCTAAAGCAGGACTGGACTGTGACGAGATCGAGGTGAGTCTCCGTCTTTCTGTCATATTCAAGTTCTGACCGCTGCTTCACAGCGACGCTCTAACAACCACGTGTGTCCGTACAGAAAGCCGTGGAGCTGATGTCGCTGGTGCCGAAGCGCTGCAATGATATGATGAACCTGGGACGCCTGCAGGGATACGAGGTACACCCGTCTGCCTGCCTGTCTGTCCACCTGTCTGTCCATCTGTCTCTGCCTGTCTGTCTGCCTGTCTGTCCACCTGTCTGTCCATCTGTCTCTGCCTGCCTGTCTGCCTGTCTGTCCACCTGTCTGTCCATCTGTTTCTGTCTGTCTGTCTGTCTGTACGCCCCGAGTTAGTCCACAGCGAAGTGACATCCCACCACAGACAGGATAGATTTCAGAGAGTCCTCACTGGAAATAAAACCCAAATAAAGTTGAAAATCATAACCGAGAAGGAAACAAAATGGCAACCATTTTCTACAGAGTTTAAAGTCTGAGTCAACAACAACAACAACAACTCAAAACAACAAACACATTGTCGGACATGTAACTTTCAAAAACACAACAGGAACCTGACAGATGAACTTTGCAGAAAATGTCTGACACACAGTACACGTTAGCTAAATGCTAATTTATAATATGTCAGAGGTTGTGTTTATACAGCTAATACAGCTTAGAAAAAATTTAACTAACACAATTTTAACCAAATGAAAATGTAAAGGACTGACAATAGAACCCTGAGGAACTTCTTGAGTAATTATTAATAGTCTCAGTGGGTTGATAATGTTCTGAGTCTGCTGAATGCATGAGTAGGCGGCTGTTTGCTAACGTGTTAAGGGCAACTACTTTATAAGAGGATAATATGTCAGAGGTTGTGTTTACAGCTCATTCTGCTGCCCCCAAGTGGCAAAAAAAAATTAATAATACAGCTTTAACCAAAATGAAAATGTAAAGGACCGACAATAGAACCCTGAGGAACCCCACAAGTAATGATTAACAACATCACAGGAACCAGCCATAAAATAAATACTGCAGAACATATAAAGGACTGAGATTACAACCCTGATGAGCTCTACGAGTTACAGACTCTCACCTGTCTTCCTGTTGTCCAGGGGAAGTTGACGTCTCAGGGGAAGTTGCTGCAGCAGGAGACCTTCTGTGTTTGGGAGCAGGACGGAGGAGTTTTATCTCGCAGTAAAGAGCGCCGAGTTTTCCTGTTCGAACAGATCGTCATTTTCAGCGAGCTGCTGCGCAAAGGTTCCAACAACCCGGGGTACCAGTTCAAGAATAGCATCAAGGTGAGGCCACTTGACACCGCTCTGGTTGATACTTGGACCGGTTTGTACTGGGAGTAATAGTGTGGCTGTTTGTGTGTGATCAGGTGAGTTACCTGGCGATGCAGGACAGCGTGGACGGGGATCCCTGTAAATTCGTCTTGTGGTCTCGTGGCTCTGCGGAGCGCTTCACGCTGCAGGCGTCCTCCGCCAGCATCAAGTTGACCTGGGTGGAGACGATAGCCACCCTGTTGGACGCACAGAACAACTTCCTGTCAGGTGAGCCCCTTGAAACATCCTGAATCCACCTTGGATCATTGAATCTTGCTGAATTGTCCCTGAACCTCCTAGAAATCCTTGATCTGGTTTAGTTGAACCCGCTGATCCTGTTTGTGTCTGCAGCTCTTCAGTCTCCCATTGAGTACCAGAGGAAGGAAGGCGGGATCTCCGTGACCCGCCCTTTGTCGTCAGGGCGACCACCGTCAGCTCCACCTACACCCAACGGCCATGCCCCTCAGCCTCATCCTGAGAGTGAGCAGGACGACCAGGTTCGGATCCCCCGTCTTTATGTCATGCTCCCGTACTTTTTTTTTTCCCTTCTTTTATTTAAAGTTCGGATCAGAGCTAACTGTGACCTTTGACCCCCTCCAGGAGTTGGTACTGGTGCTGCAGGACTTCGTGGCGGTTCGGGAGGACGAGATCTCTGTGTTTCGAGGGGAGAAGGTTCAGATTTTGGCATCCAACCAGCAGGGTCAGAGTTTGGTGTACCGGCCAGCCAACAGCGACTCGCCGGCCGCTGAGGGCTGGGTGCCACGCAGCGTGCTCAACACACACTGACACATACACAATAACACCCCGACAGCAGAGTCCGGTTTACAACATGTACACATATGACATACTGCACGCTATCAGGGCCCAAGGCATGTTGGGAAACTTTGTATATTGGTGAGAGGTGGAGCCTGTAGATGGCGCCTAAAGCTCGTTCAGTACAACCCAAAAATATTGAAACAACTGCTGACCATGGTGAAGCCCTGATGTTTCCTGCGGTGCCACCATCAGGGAAACTTTCCGTTTGGCCAGGACGACTACACCTGTTAATGTCTCACCATTGTCGGTCACTTCCTGTTAATTTCTCGCTATTGTCTGTTACTTCCTGTTCACTTTTTTGCCATTGTCTGTTACTTCCTGTTAATTTCTCGCTATTGTCGGTCACTTCCTGTTAATTTCTCGCCATTGTCAGTCACTTCCTGTTAATTTCTCACCATTGTCAGTCACTTCCTGTTCATTTTTTTGCCATTTTTGGTTACTTCCTGTCATTTTTCTCGCCATTGAAAGTTTGAGTTAAAACTACCGTGTGTTTTAGAAAATAAAGCAAAGACTTTAAACAAAATAAAAGCCCCGTCCCCTCAGATCTGTCTGGCGGCCTATCTGCGGGGTCCCGACCCTCATGTCGGGACACGTATTGCCCTCTCTAGGCTCCGCCCTCGGGCTCTGATTACCTGCAGTATTAAAACACACACACACAACCAATCCCAGCAGCAGGTACTGTTAGTCTCCTCCCTCCTTCCTGGTGCTTCAACATTCAGCCAAAACACACCTCCGTCCTCGCCTCGTCCAATCAGATGCAGGCGTCAGGTCGGCCTCCAGTTTACTGCCCCCAAGCAAAACCGATCGCACTCTGACAACATCACAAACTGTTCCCTGTGTGGGTCAATGGGAGGGAGACCGCATCATCATCATCATCATCACCAGACAGACTGGGATTCCAGGAAGCTGTGGTTGCCTAGCAACAAGAGACAATATATAAAAAAAATAAATAATAAAAGTTTAAAAAAAAAAAGGTTCCTGGAAGAGAAGAGGTGAAAAAGACCTGTCAGCCAATCAGAACTGAGCTCTCTCTGCGTGTCATCCTGTTAAATAGTGTGTATAAACAGACTGAGGACACACACACACACTCCATACACACACACACCACTGCTACGACGACGACGATGAAGATTAATATGAAGATTAACTACGATGATAATTAAGAATATTAGAATCTGTTTTTCACCTCAATTAGAAACGTTTGTCATATTAATGTTTGTGTGTGAGAGAGCGCGCGTGTGTGTGTGTGTGTGTGTGTGTTAGTGACGACGTCCTGTGTGTGCGTGTGTTTTTCCACGGACAGTTAGGTGGTGTCCTGGTGTAGCGTTGCCATGACGACTCGTGTTTGGCGGTGACACCAGGTTTTTTTTGTTTGTCTTTTTAGCGGACCAGAGCCGCCACCCTCCCCCCTCCCCCCTCCCCTTACCCCCTCCTTCTCCTCTCTGCCGTTACCACAGCAGCTGGCTGCGGCAGGGGCGGAGCCTGCCCCCTCCTCCCCGCCCCAGCCCCCCCCCCCCGTGCGTGCAGCTCTGGTTAGTTTGGATATTATGCATTTCTTGTTCCTGTAAATAGACCAGACCTCCAACTGCTACTCCAAACTAACTCTGGACACTGTCTGTCTCTCTGTCCGCCCGTCTGTCCGTCCGTCTGACAGACAGAGGCGCAGCGACTCCACCTACTGTGACCGTCTGTTTCTACTGAAGCTGTAACCTTCCACACGCTCTCTACCTGTCTCTCTCTGCCTGTCTCTCTACCTCTCTGTCTTTCTCTCTCTGTCTCTCTGGTGCCATTCTCAGACAACACCCCGGTCCTTAAGGAGCTACGCCGCCTCCCGAGTGCACGACGGGGGCGCCGAGGCGGGAAGTAGTGCACTGTGAAGGGTGTAGGGAGAGACGCAGCAAACTAGGAGGGTGGAATGCTGCCTTCAAATGCAGCTGGTGAGGTTGAACTTTCGGAAACCAGCGTGGTGCTGGTTAAGAGCAACACACACCGGTACAAAATAAACACGTAGCTTCTCATGTGTTATCGTCCAACGCCTTCACAGGTTGACAGTCCACATGTTAATGCTCATTCATTTTCCATAACTGCGTATCCTGTTAGGGGTCACAGGGGGCGGAGCCTATCTCAGCTGACACTGGGTGAGAGGCAGGGTTCACCCTGGACAGGTCACCAGACTATCACAGGGCTGACACATAGAGACAGACAACCATTCACACTCACATTCACACCTACGGACAATTTAGAGTCACCAATTAATCTGCATGTCTTTGGACTGTGGGAGGAAGCTGGAGCACCTGGAGGAAACCCACGCTGACACAGGGAGAACATGTCAGAGCACCTGGAGGAAACCCACGCTGACACAGGGAGAACATGTCGGAGCACCTGGAGGAAACCCACGCTGACACAGGGAGAACATGTCAGAGCACCTGGAGGAAACCCACGCTGACACAGGGAGAACATGTCAGAGCACCTGGAGGAAACCCACGCTGACACAGGGAGAACATGTCAGAGCACCTGGAGGAAACCCACGCTGACACAGGGAGAACATGTCAGAGCACCTGGAGGAAACCCACGCTGACACAGGGAGAACATGTCAGAGCACCTGGAGGAAACCCACGCTGACACAGGGAGAACATGTCAGAGCACCTGGAGGAAACCCACGCTGACACAGGGAGAACATGTCAGAGCACCTGGAGGAAACCCACGCTGACACAGGGAGAACATGTCAGAGCACCTGGAGGAAACCCACGCTGACACAGGGAGAACATGTCAGAGCACCTGGAGGAAACCCACGCTGACACAGGGAGAACATGTCAGAGCACCTGGAGGAAACCCACGCTGACACAGGGAGAACATGTCGGAGCACCTGGAGGAAACCCACGCTGACACAGGGAGAACATGTCGGAGCACCTGGAGGAAACCCACGCTGACACAGGGAGAACATGTGGGAGCACCTGGAGGAAACCCACGCTGACACAGGGAGAGCAGAAAGCCGCCTCCAGCTGCTGAGATACTTCCTGTGTGATCAGGGCCTTGGTGAAGCAGTAAAGGTTGCCGATTTGAACCGTGTTCCCACGTGACTTTACAAGCACTGAAACTATCCGTCACGTCACACAAACCGCTGAGAGTGAACCTTGTGTTTTGGATGTTATCGTCATGCTGTCCTTGATGTCAACTGTCAGATCGGACACATGTCCGCCCGCAGAAGCGGCGGTGTTGCCAGGACAGCACAGAGTTCCTGAGGACCGCAGGTAGCAGTTCCTCTACTGTCCACTAGGGGCTGGCTCCAAGAGCAAGGAGCTAATTTCAACATCCATGATTTTCTATAGAACTCACCTGCTGCTGAAAAACACCCCGAAACGTGAGGTGTAAACCTACTGAGATACGACAACGTGGTGTTTTAAGACGTAAACATCTTACACGATAACACACGAGAAACTGACCATGACATTTGAAAACATTTCCTCACAGAAAAAACCCAACATCTCCTTCAGAACACACTCGACGATGAGTGATGTGTCCGGTGTGTGCTGCACTTAAATGTACTTTAATGCTGCATTCACGTCGCGTGGGGATTTTACGCAGATGCCGTTCACCCCGACATCCGAGTCGTAGTTTTAAACCCTCGGCACTGAATGGTACAGACGCGACTAAGGCGCCGTCCCACGTGACACGAACACGGCATTAAACTTAGATGAATGACACTGATATATTTAAAAAAACAAAACATAAGGAAGCTACCTTTGTTCCCTTTTCAGGAATGTCAATGTTGTGATCAGGAATGCAAGAAACAAAAAAAGAGTAGAAAATAAACAAAAGTAACGTCTGTGGGATTCAGTATCTTTAAAAAAAGTCTACAAACGTGGTGAAGTGTGAACTCGGAGTGCACCAGAAAGGTTTTAGGTGGATTATAGTGCACTACAGAGGGTGATAGTGCACTATGAAGGGTTTAGGATGGAAGGTAGTGCACTGTGAAGGGTGCAACAAAGATTTTAGGGTAAACAGTACAAAGAGTTTAAACTCGAACATAGTGCACTACGAAGGGATTCAGGAGGAAGGTAGTGCGCTAAGCAGGGTTTAAGGAGGAAAATAGCACACTATGGAGGGCCTAACGTGGGAGGTGGTGCACTATGGGGAACGTAGTGCGGAAAGAAGTGCATTACAAACATGTTAAGGTGGAAAGTAGTGTACTGCAGCGGGTTTAGGGTGGAAGAAAGTGCACTACGGAGGGCGTAGGGTGCTGTTTGAGACCTAGCCTTGTTGCCGATTGGCAAACTCAACTAACCAATCAAACAGTGTTATTTGTACAGAACTAACAGCTGCTAACTGACTGCTAACAGCTCTCTGTCGTTGTTTGTAATAAACTTCATTTTTCATCCAAAACTCTGTACGTGGGTTTTATTCCTTGTGATCTGTGACCATATATGGACAAGAGGGTGGAGCTTACCCTAACGCTACCTGCTAGCTTGGTTAAAAAGGTGCATTAACAGCTGCGGTTAACTGTCATACACTAATTTTTGCTAGCGGAGATGAAGTGAAGCACATTTGATATAATAACGCTAACGCTAGCTGCTGGTTATTCAGTTTATTTACATCTACGATTAACTGTAATAATGCTAATCCAAATTTGTCTGCTAGCAAAAAAAAAAGTCTTTAAACTACTAAAACAAAACATAAGAAACATACGTCACCCATTAGTTTGTTAACTCCTGTTTTGAAGCCTCGAACATTTTGTCTGTCGGCATTTTTTATTTTGGAGCCGGAGGTGACCATATTTGTAAGAGAGGTGAAGCTAACCCTAACGCTGGCCGCTAGCTTGGTTATATAGTTTGCTCACAGCTATGGTTATCTGTGATAATGCCAATTTTCTTTAAACCATTCCAACAAAATGTACAAAACGTATGTCACCCATTGGTTTGTGGACGCCCATTTTCAAGCCTCAAATTTGTCATTTTGACTGTCGCCATCTTGGATTTTTGGAGCCACAAGTGACCATATTTGGACCAGAGGGTTAAGACAAGCCTCACGCTAGCTGCTAGCTTAGTTATTCAGTTTATTTACAGCTATAATTAACTTTGCTAATGCTAATTTCTGCTAGCAAAAAATGGCTTAAAACACAACGTACAAAATTTACGTCACCCACTGGTCTGTCGACTCCCATTCTGACATTTTGGCTGTCGCCATTTTGGATTTTTGAAGCCTAACCCTCACATATGAATGAAAGGTGGAGCTAACCCTAATGCTAGCTGCAAGCTTGGTTATTCAGTTTATTTACAGCTATGGCTAACTATGATAATGCTAATACTAATTTTCGCTTGCCAGTTGAAAACAACTAAAACAAGACATACGTTTTTTAGAACAGAACAGATAAACTTTATCGTTTGGCTTTTTTGCTGTCACCATCTTGAATTTTTGGAAGCAACCATATTAGGACAAGAGGGTGGAGCTGACCCTAACGCTAGCTACTAGTGCCGTTAATATGGCAGAGTTACAGCTATGATTAACTATGATAATGCTAATTTTTGCTTGCAAAAAAACAGGCTTCACACCTTTAAAAATAAAATGTACCTACAAGACAAACTGACCCCGTAAGGAACGTTTTCGTCTTCGACTTATTTAGGCAACCAAAATGTTACAGTTCATTTTCATGAACTGAAATCGCACTGTGAATTTGTGATTACGTGACCTGACCAACGCTGTAACTGTGGTAGCGTCCTGTCAGAGGGTGACACCCACCTGTCACTCAAACAGGCCCCGCCCTAAATTAAGTTTGAGCCTTAATAAAATGTAAACAGACATTTAAAGTCATACCCTTTTTATGTTTCTTTAAAAGCTGCGTGTTGTGCAGAGTGTGTAGTTTTCCTCACTTCACACACTGTGTCATGTGAGATGATAACGCTGAGACAAGGCCTTCATGACCTTCAAACGTCTCAGTAACAACACTCCTGGCACCAGAACAAACCACAGACAGTGAACACATCGTCACTCCTGATACACGGTCCAAATGATTTGTTTTATGGTCACAGTGTCAGCGTGGTCCTCACACAAGTTCATGCTGCACCAACACGTCCCGATAAGAGCGGCTGTAAAGCAATAAACTAATTTAACCAATTACACGGCCGCAGATAAAGACGGCAAGTCCAAAGGTCAAACTTTACCTTTATCACACTAAACAGAGTCAGAATAAAATCAAGACGGAAAAACATGAATTCACTGGTTTTAACATTTTTACGTTTTTTATTTTAACCCAAAAAAAACAGACCCACATTTCATAAAGTAGATTTTTGTTTTCCATTTATCGCAGATTTGTTTTTTCATTATTTGATAAAATATGTAGAAGTGTGTTAGAAAACAAAAATGGCACTTTTCATGAGGTCTAGAATAAAAATCACTTCAAAAAATATATATTAATTGATTTAGTTATCGTGAGAATTAGAGCTTAATTAAATTTACAAATAAAAATAAATAAATAAAAAAGAATGTAATCTGAACCTTTATCTTACAGTTTACTCAAGAAAAGGACCTTTTGATTTGTTTTTTCATTATTTGATAAAATATGTAGAAGTATGTTTGGAAACAAAAATGACACTTTTCATTTTCACAAATTTTGGTATAAACATTACTTTTTTAAAAAAAAATATATGAAAGAATTTATCATTGTGAGAATTTGAGCTTAGTTATTTTTTTTATATTAAAAAAGGAGCCAGTTAAAAATAAATAAATAAATGTTGGAGAAACAAAAAATAAAATTAGACTTTTCATAGACATTAGAATAGAAATTTGAATTTTTATAAATATATTAATGAACATATGTTAATTATTGTGAGAATCAGAGCGTAGCCATTTGTTATATTTAAAAAAAAAAAAAAAAAAAAAAAAAAGATTAAAACTGAATGTTTAACCTGTTAACCCAAAAAAGGACCAGGTTAAAAATAACTAAATAAATAAATAAATATACCTTCAGGTCCTGTTTTTTTATGCTAAGATAAAAGAAAAAGCATTTACTTAATGTTCATGTGTCGTCTATCTACCAGTATGTTTGTGTTTTATAAGCTGATAAATGACCGAAATAAACAAAACTAAAATAAAGTAAAATTAAATAGAACAAAATAAACTAACGTACTGCATCCACTGCTCTGATTCTTTAAAGTGCAGCAGCCTTTCATCTCATGTTTGTTCCTCTGTAAACGTCTTTATCTTCATTCATTCATTCATTCATTTAAAAGGACATTAATCAACATCTCTGTAAACGTGCCAGTGTTAGCCATTAGGCTAATTTAAAACTACGGTGCTTTGGCAAGGTGTTTTGTTAACCATTGTTCTCTTGAATCTTTATAACGGCAGTGTGTGTTTGTGAGTGTGTAACTGTGGGTGTGTATTTTGTGTAGCGGTCACAGTGTGGATTCAGACGGGTGAGAATCAGCTGGATGCAGAAACGTGTTGTTCTTTATCGTCTGTTCACAGATAATCAGACGTCTTTATGGCTTAAGATTTAAGTACAAGGATTCCTTATCAGGATGTTGCCCTTCAAATTAAAAGCACAGACAGATCAAAGATGAGTTGACCTTCACAGTGAGATGCTGCGTCAGCTGAGGACTTCCTGTTCACTGACTCAACGTTCACACCGTGATGTTTTAAGATGCTCGGAAAAAGCAACAACAACACTCCTCTTTTATTGTGAAAAGCAGAGCGAAGTCCACGGCACAGCAGAGCGCTTACATAATCCACTCAGTGTGTGTCACACCTGTTCTGTAACATGGACATCATCACGTAGAGCGATGCCGGCCACATAATTTCAGCTGCTGCCAGCATGTGTGTTCAGTCTCTGCAGAGGTGCAGTCTGGGAAACATACGCCAGAAACATGCAGCCAATTTTTGGAAAGAACGGGATGGAAACTCCGGAGCCGGTGAGAGCTGAAGTGAGAGGTGAGTGTGACACAGAGCTGCTGGCTGAGTCTCAGGGTTGTGTCATCTGTGTTTGATAAAGCTGCAGGTTTATTTATTCCATTCACTCCAACAGATAAAAAAACACTGAGGGGAAATTCAGCAGCTGTTTATGTTTTTAAAAAGGAGACAAAATTAACTTTTCACATGTAAATAAACAGGTTTAAAACAAAAATGATGTTTGCAATAATTAAATAAAAACTGTAGTGTGCTCAGAGTCATGTTTCAGGTTTAGTGTTTTTTTAATCTTTATATTTCAATTTATCTGTCTGCCAGGATGTTTGTGTTTTGTAAGGTGTGAAAATAACAGAAATAAACTAAACTAAAACAAATTAAACTAAAATAAAACAAAATATAATAAATTCAACTACACTAAAATAAAATCAATTAAATTCAACAAACATAAATTAAAGTAAAATAAAATAAAAGAAATTAAATTGAAATGAATTAAAATAAAATTAAATAAACTTAAATTAAATTAAAATAAATTAAACTCAACTAAACAGAAATAAAATGAAACAAACTGAGACGTCTCAGTACCAAACACTAAACACCGTCTGCAGGAACACACCAGTGATTGGAAGTTTTACCTGTGTGACCTTTGACCTTCAGGCTCCATCCCGTCGTGGCTGCAGGGAACTCTGCTGAGGAACGGGCCCGGCCTTTTCTCTGTGGGAAACACTGAGTACAACCACTGGTTTGACGGCATGTCGCTCATCCACAGCTTCACCTTCTGCAACGGTGAGACGACAAAATTAAGATTTACATAGAAAATGATGTTAAATTAATGCTGGAGGACGTTACCTGGGGCTGACGCATGCGTTTACTGTTGCTGTTGTTTTAGGCGAGGTGACTTACAGGAGCAAGTTTCTGAAGAGTGACACCTACAAAAGGAACATCAAGGCCAAAAGGATTGTCGTCTCCGAATTTGGAACTATGATCTACCCAGATCCCTGCAAAAACATCTTCTCCAGGTACAGTCCATCCAAGGGACGTAGAGATCTGTTTCAGTCCATCCAAGAGACGTAGAGATCTGTTTTAAACTCTCTCCTCAGGGCATTGACACACCTCAGTAACATCATCCCTGACTTCACCGACAACAACTTGATCAACATCATTCGCTATGGCCAGGACTACTACGCCTCCTCCGAGGTCAACTACATAAACCAGATCAATCCAGCAACCCTGGAGACCACCGGCAGGGTACGTTCGTTTCCACCCACCTCCTCACAGCACAAATACAGTCTCAAACTTATCGCACGTTCTCTTTAAACAACCTTTCTGCCAAACTCCAGATCAACTACAGGAGCCACATCGCTCTGAACCTGGCAACAGCTCATCCTCACTATGACAACGAGGGCAACACCTACAACATGGGCACCGCCATCATGGGCTTAGGCCTGCCAAAATACGTCATCTTCAAAGTCCCTGCTGATGCTTCAGGTACGGCTTCAGCTTTAGAAACCTTTAAAGATAGAAGGTTCATGTTGATGCTTGACACCTTGACACCTCTAACTAGAGGCGCCCAGGAAGATCCTCAAAAAGAGCGGCCCTCATCCAGGGGCCTCTGAGTATCCCCACACCTGTCCAGCGCCTCTCACCTGAGGCAACTCCAGAAAAGGCGAAAGTTAAACCCTTTTCTAGGAGTCTGGTTTCAGAACCAATACAAAGAGGCGAGCCAGACTATATCCCCACTTCCTGAACCAGCTCCCATTCCCTCTACATCAGAGAGGTGACGTCCCAAGTCCCTAGAGTCAGTCTGTGATGCCAGACACCAACACACCTGAGTCCCCACCCCTGCCTGATGTCTGGTACACAATGTCCCCGTCCCAAAGCCGATCACTGTCACAGGGAGGCAAGTCCATGTTGTTTTTTCAAGCCTGACCAGGCCTCATGGTCCAAGGCCTGGCCACCGGATGCTTATCCGTGAAAATATTAAAGTGAGTCATGTAGAGGGTCATGCGAGCTGTAGAGTTTACGGCCCTCCTCATAAACTTGACAGTGCGCAGCTAGCGTAATGGCTGACCTCGCCATTAAAATGATCACGATATATAAAAACAGGATCTAACTTAGATCACCAAGGTCGCAGGCGAAGGTAACGTTATCGTAGAGCTGAGAGGAAGTACGTCACTCAACACTGAGCAACTACAGAATTACAACCGACGTCTCGATGTCAGGCTAACACTGACCACGACTATGTCTTGTTCTAACAAACTGATGACGATGTTAAAACTTAATACTGACAGCGATGGCTTGTTTGTTCCAGATAAAAAGCACAAGAAGCCGGCGCTGAGGAAGGTCCAGCAGGTGTGTTCGATCCCGATGCGTTCCACTTTGTTCCCAAGTTACTTCCACAGCTTCGGCATGACGGAGAACTACGTTGTGTTCGTGGAGCAGCCCTTCAAACTGGACATCGTCAAATTGGCCACCGCCTACTTCAGAGCGGTCAACTGGGGGAGCTGCCTCAAATTCGACAAGGACGACATTGTAAGTCTGTTGAAGTCAATCAGATTAGATATCGCTGTCTGAAAGTTAACGAAACATTAATTTGTTAATTCCGTTTATTCACAAAAAAAGTAAAAATGTAATTCAGTTGAACAGAGACAAGTTTTTTTGGCGTTTCATTGACGCCCAAAGACAAACTGTGACAGTAAACTTCCTCTGTCCCTCCCAGACCTTGTTTCACGTCATCAACAGGAAGACAGGCAAAGCCGTGTCCACCCGTTTCTACGGTGACGCCCTGGTGGTTTTCCACCACATCAACGCATACGAGGCCGACGGCCACGTGGTGTTCGACCTGATCGCCTACAAGAACAGCAACCTGTACGACATGTTCTACATCCAGAACATGAAGCAAGAGACCAGCAGCTTCATTGAGTCCAACAAGAACTTCTCGCCACCAGTCTGCCAGAGGTTCGTCCTGCCGCTCGACGTCAATGAGGTAACGCCAGGCTGACAAACACACCTGAGACGTACATGACATGTTTGTCCTTAGAGTTTATGGTGACGTGTTTTCCAGGAGTCTCCCAGAGGATCTAACTTGGTGACTCTGGAGGACACGACGGCACAGGCAGTGATGCAGGAGGATGGCTCTGTCCACTGTCAGCCGGACACCATGTTTGAAGGTTCGTTATCTGCATGGTTTGACTTAATATTTAAACTTTTAGTCTCTCATACTGAGCACGTTTGATTTCTCCTCAGGTCTGGAGCTGCCGCAGATCAACTATAACTTAAACGCTAAGAAGTACAGATACTTCTACGGCTCCAGGGTCGAGTGGTCACCTCATCCCAACAAGGTGCGACACCTCCGACCGTCAGCAACACCGTCAACATCCAAAACTTAAACTGTCCATCGGCTGTGCCGCCATTTTGGTCCAGACTGAAAAAACTCAACAAATATTTGGGGAGGAGGAGAGCATACGTTGCGTCAGTGCCGTAGTTAATGTGTGGTTATATTAGGCCACAAAAAACATTTAGTTAGGGTTAAAAATAGATCATTTTTAGCTTAAAACACACGTTTGTTGGTGGTTGTTGATGCTGAACAGTAGTCTGCAGCTCGGCCTGCATCAAGTTTCACTCCAGGTTTCATCCAATAGCAGCTGAGCACCTTCTGTCTGGACCAGTCAACAGTCTCGTCCCTGCAGCTGAAACAGAGTCTAAACTCTAACGTCTCCGTCCCGTCCAACAGATTGCCAAGTTTGACATTGTCACCAGGAAACACACCGAGTGGCACCAGGAGAACTGCTACCCGTCAGAGCCGGTGTTTGTTGCATCACCAGGAGCGGTGGAGGAAGACGATGGTGAGGGCTTTGCATTATTGATTCGCACATTTAAAGGAACTTTGTCCTGATGTTGTAATTTTCATCCTGCAGGGGTCATCTTATCATCCATCGTCTCTCCGGATCCAAACATGTCTCCGTTCATGCTCGTCCTCGACGCCAAAACCATGGAGGAGATCGCCCGAGCGTCCATTCCTGCCAACGTCCACCTGGATCTTCACGGACACTTCATCCCCGCCGCTGTCTGATGGCCAAACACACAGACTGGTTTCATTATTTGTTACTGTGTGTAAAGTCTGTAACATGTTGAGGATGTGTTTGAGCAGGAGGCGTGTTCGGGACTACGACAGAGCGTCAGGCTCAAATTTCATTTATCACTAAATTCTGACGTCAGTGGGACCATCAGCAACCTACGACGTTCCATCAGTGTTTCCTCTTTAAACTTTGTCATAATCAGCATAAATTAACTTATGGCCAAATACATGTTTTGTGAGGTCACAGTGACCTTTATTATATTTTATATGGACCTATTGTTGAGTCTGAAATAAAGATTGATTGATAAGTCCAAGTGGATGTTTGTGCCAAATTTGAGGAAACTCCCTCGAGGCCTTCTTGAGATATTGTGTTTACAAAACAAGACCAATGCAAGGTCACAGTGACCTTGACTTTTGACCACCAAACTCTAATCAGTTAATCGTTGAGTCCATGTCCAAGTGGACATTTGTGTCTAATTTGAAGATATTCCCTTGAGGCTTTCTTGAGATATCGCATTGTCAATAAAGACACAGACAAAAGATCACAGTGACCTTGACCTCTGACCTATGACCACCAATCTCTAATCTCTATTGATGCATCCAAGTGGACATTTGTGCTAAATCTGAAAAAACTCAGATTTCTCTTAATATTTCTGGTTTTCTTTTCTTAACGTGTTTTACGAGACAGATTTAAGAAAATATGAAACATAATAAAAATTAAACATCCTGCTCCCCAGAGGACGAACCCTTCAGGTCCGAGTCGCTCCAGGAGGACAGACGTCACGTTTGTGTGTCTCCATCAGCCGTGTCTCATCTTTAATTAAACTTTTGTTTTTATTACCTCTGCCAAGGAGGTTATGTTTTCGCCGGTGTTGGTCTGTTTGTCTGTACACGGATTTAGATGAAATTTTCAGGAAAGGTTGATAATGGGACAAGGAACAGATGATACAATTTTGGTGATCGGTTGAAACGAAGTGGATAAAATGGCGGGAAATCCAAGCTGCTTGGCAGAGGTCCGCGCTCTCCAAGTGCTCTAGTTAAACAGTTCTGTTGAAATGAGTTCTCAAACTCAAAAACAAACCACCTGATGTTTCTGTGTCAGTCTGACTGAAAAACGTGTCCCACTAGAGACACTGCAGAAGTCACGTGTCATAGCTCTTATGAGAAATGTCCCCCTGCACTGCATAGCACATTAGCTCGTTAGCTAACGCTGTCTCCTTACAGCTCCTTAATGATGGATCAATAGAGAATATAGCAACTTTCACCACAGTTCATTTTAGGAGGGCCGCTCCAAGGAAATGTGTTGTGTGTTCAGATTAGCAAACGGACGATGGATCAGATACTTGTTTCTGGCTGCTAACATTCGCTCGCTGAAAAGTTTCCACTTTAAAATGTTGATTGAAAATGTTGTTGTCTGTTGATACTTTGACTCCCCCTCCCACTGCTGTGAAGTGATTGGCTGAATTAAAAACTACTGAGTTTTTGGGTGACAGGGGATTGTGTGCCACGTTCACAAAATGAGACAGTTGTGAGGTCACAGTGACCTTTGACCACCAAATTCATATCAGTTCATCATTGAGTCCAAGTGGACGTTTGTGCCAACTTTTAGAAAAACTGCTCGAGGTGTTATATTATTGAGATATTGCATTTTTGTGAATGAGATGGACACATGGTTAGGGTTACCTTGACCTTTGCCCACCAAACTCTAATCAGTTTATTGTTAAGTCTAATTGGACATTTGTGCCTAATCTGAAGAAATTCTCTCCAGGTTGATGGTGATGGTGTTTTATGGCCTAGGTCAGAGTTTTCACTGACTGGCACCACCCAAGGTGGAAAATTCTAATTTGGTACCATGATAAACTTTTTTTTATCTCTAGATGACATTTCGACATGAAAACTGTTCCTACGTGGCAACTTAGTCACCGATATCAACCTTTGATGGCACCAACACTCAGGGGTACAGGGTGGCGTTTTAAGTCCTGAGTGTGATTTATCCTGGCTGAAATATGAGCAGAGGAAATCTCTGCTAGCTGCTAGGCTAATTTATACAATGTAAAATGCCATAGGCTTGTGCTAATAACGTTAGCATGTTGTATTTGTGGGGAAAATGTGTCCAGATAAAGACAAGTATTTGTCTGTGAATGCTGCGACTTATAGTGAAGCTGATTTGTGTGTTTAATGTGTGTTTAGACACACCACCACACAAGTATAAATCCTGCTTTTCTCTGGACTCAAAGGGCGCCTCCTAATTGCACATAGGTTGTATCTGATAGTTAGATGTAAAAAGAACATCCTAAAAAACATGTCTTCTCCTTTCTGTGGCACTGTGATGTAATGGCCCCAAATTTTTACCCTTGAAGTGACCTTGATCCACTGAGTATATGACGGTAAACTTTTAAAAACACCTTAAATTATTACCACTGAATGTTCCCCTTTCACATCAAAGCTTCATTAATCCTTTAAACTCTGCGGTACAAACGCTCTTCCACAACCAAAACTGGTGTGCTGGCTTACTGTGATGTCACTTCCTGGATTACCTTCAGATACTTTATGTCCCTGAAATCTGAACAAGCTCAGCTGAAAACTTCTGAAAGTCAATAAACTACAATAAATAATAAAAGTACTAAAACTGTGTTGTAAAAACAAAACAGAAGTTTTTTTGATTCGATTTTGCAAAATGAAAAATTAAAGACTTTTAAGTTATTTACAGTGTGAGTGCGAGTGAAAAGGTGTTCATACGTCTGAATCAACCTGCAGGAACTTCCTGTTTGACTTTGAATCCATTAAGGAGAAGCTGAACGCTCGTGTTGTTTACTTTGTCAAAGTTCGACTGCAGAGTTGTTTTAGATTTGTTTGTCAGACTTTGGCAGCAGTGTGTAAACATCTCGGCACTACAGAAGTCTGTGTGTGCCAATATTAAAACAAGTCAAATTTTAAATTTGTGTCTTTATGTAAAAGAACATTTCTTTTGTCTGTGGGTTGAAACGGTTTTTTACCTTAAAACTTAAATTGACAAACTTTACTTAGAAATTAAATTAAAATTATTACTTTGAATTTTGCTTTTTACACAAAACGGAAATTTTATTTAGGCAGGATTGTCTTCAGTCAACTTTTATGAAAATGAGCATCAAGAAATGTATTTATCTTTTTACAAAATTAAACAAGTTAAAAATCCATTTTACGCATTATGTACAAAACCTAAACTTGAAAACTGAAAATTTTCATTTCAAATCATGACGTTGATTTCAGCTCGTTTCCACAGGAAATTAAAAATGTCCTTTACACAGGACTCTGTCAGGTTAACATTTATAAAAATTAGCTTTAAAAGGTTTTTAAAATTCTAATTTTATCATCATGAGAAGAATCGGGCAACAACAAATATATGAAGTTTAACATCACACTGTCTTGAATGATGCTTAAACTGAGCCACAGTGTATGGGTGAAATAAACACAAGAGTCTCCGATTTCAAAGTCAACATACATCCGACACAACCGGCGGCAGTATATAAATCTTTCAGAAAGTATTTAAACAAATCAAATTTTCAACATGATGTATGAGCATTTTACTTTTTTTGAAGATTCAAAATTATGATTGACGAATAGTTTTTAGTAAAATCCAAAACGTAAACATAAATTAGTGTTTGAAAAACTTTAAGTCACATCTTTGTTAGGTTAAAAAAATTCGCCCACATGAAAACTATGACAGATACTTTTTAGATTAATCCAAAACATAAAATTCAGTTTCATTTTTGTTTTGAGGTTTAACAATGCAAAGTAATGATGAATGAATAATTTATCAGTGTACTCCAAGTGCAACACTTCCAAACATCGACAGAGTGCGACCTAAACTTAAATATTATATCACAAACTGAACTTTAAAAATCAAATTAAAATGTTTATTTTAGTTTCTTTCTTAGGGAAATAAAAAGGATAATTTTTAATTTGCTTAAATTTTAAATGAAGTTTCGACCTAAACTTAAAAATTAAATTACAAACTGGACTTTTGTTTTGAAATTAAAATGATTGTTGATTTTAGCTCGTTTAACTGCAGGCTTCTTTTTTTAATGTATCACAGTCAACTGTATAAAAATGAACATTAAAAAAGGGCAATTTTAATCTTATTTTCAGAAAAATAAATGTGCCTGTATCAACGCGATGAACTTTTATAAAAAACTAAAATTCAACTTTCATTTTTAAAATTTGTGTTTGTGTGATATATGAAAACATTTAGCAACGACAACTTTGTTTTTGAGTTTAAAAATGCAGAATTATGATGAACATATTTTTACAATTTAAAAAGTTTGACCAAAATTAAGAAATGACATTTTTGGGGTTAAATAAATTCACCTTCATGAAAACTATGAATACTTAATAGTTTTTAGTGTAATCCAATGCGCAGCACTTTCATTTGAAGTTAAATGAAGTAACACTTAAACTTAAAAATTGAATTGGGAACTGGACATTTTGTTTTTAAATCAAAATATTTAACTTCTTTCTGAAGACAATAAAAATGTTCTTTATCCCTGGATTTATGAAAATTTTAATTTTATTTTCACAAGAAACGCACCTCAATCAAATACATGAACCTTTTATATAAAATTCTAATTTAATTTTTCAAATCTGAGTTTGCATGATGTATGAAAATCTCTGAGACGAACATTTTTGTTTTAAGGTTAGAAAATTCAAAACGTCGTCCACTGTCATCCACAGTGCAGCACTTTAATTTTAAAATTACATTAAGTGAAACCTGAACTTTAACAATTAAATTACAAACTGGAATGTGTACGTTGATTTTAGCCCATTAAACTGCAGGATTCTTTTTTTATATATTTAAGTCAACCATCATGAAAATGAGCATAAATAAAGACAATTTTAATTTCAGAAGAAGGAACGAGCTGAAATCAGGACCTGAATCAAATCCGGATGCAAAAGTCCAGTTTTAAACTTTATTAAAGGTTCCTGTCGTTCAGCAGCCGACAAACTTTAATGTCTTTTTTACAGCAAGACAGAAGACAGAAACAGAGACTGTGATGTAAAACTGCTCAGGACATCTCACACACAACTAAAGGTTTTCAACGTAAACTCTGTTGTGATGATGTCATGAGCGCTGAGCGCCGCAGAGGTCAGCGGTTCTTCCTCTGTGGTCGTGAACAGAAAACTGAAGTGAGAACTCCACAGGTTTCATCAGAATCATGGGAATTTATTACATCAGCAGTTGCAGCAGAAACAGTTTTAAAATCTTCCATCCAGTCATTCAAACCTCAAACATGGCCGACACACCGCACAGCAAAGCCGCCAACGCTGAGTCCTTAAA